AGGGCGCTCCTGAGCGAGTCCACAATGAATGGGTTAATATGGAGCGTTTGAATAAAATCATAATTTATAAATGCTGAAACATTTTTGATGTAAAAGAATAAATTCATTACCTGAACACAGAACAGCAGAACACATTTAACACTGCTGTTATATTTTTAAACGCTTTTAAACTCGAGTTATAGGAGTGGGGAAAAAGTGCCGTATGAAAACTGTACGCCCGATTTCCTTTGGATGTAGGTTCTATCATCCTGCAAGGTTCAGTGGTTCTAGCTCATCTTTTTCCAAGCCAACATAACTAATCAGTTATAATGACAGTTCCAGCTGCCTCTTAATCATGTGGAACATTAACTAGAACTGTTCATAAGAGCTGAGATTTCCAATCAACATGACAAACACCAGCAACAAAAATTAGAGCTATGACCAGTGGTCAGTTTTGAAAATGATTAGACATCATTATATTATATTAAAATTAGTTCTTTCTTTCCAAAAAGTTCCAGCCATATCTCAATTGTCACCTCCGGTTTGTGATCCAGTGTACGTATTTAGTGTTATCAGAGGGGCAGTATATTAACGTTAGCATTACGGAGTGAACTGCAGTGGACCAGCTGGACCTGAAGTGACCCCACTGCACCAGCATTTTACTCTCAGCTCACTCACTCAGCTAATCCTGCAGCTCCATCCTCAACAACACTCACACTGTGCGGAAAATGACCCGTTCATTCAGAGCAAATTAGATATATGTTAAAATATGTTTAATTTACCTCAAAAAGGTCAAATTTTACCCGATTTTCTCCCCAATTTAGTCGTCTCCAATTCCACCCGCTACCTAGGTCTCCCCCAATCACACGATGCTATCAACGTTAGGAGGGTGAAGGCTAACACAGGCTTCCTCCGAGACCTGTGAAGCCAACCACCGCTTCTTTTCGAACTGCCGCTCACGCAACGTCACTGGACAGCCGAACGCGCTCGGAGGAAAGCGCCAACCGCCAGATCTGTTACGTCAGCTAACAGACGCCTGCGCTGACTAGCATCGCGCTGAGTGATGGGGGAGAGGGGGGCCATCCTACCCACCCAGAGAGAGCGAGGCCAACTGTGGGACTCCCGGCTACGGACGGCTGTAGCATCACCAGGGATCGAACTCGCGATCTCCTGATGACAGGGCCAACGCTTAGACAGTTGCGCCACTCGGGAGCAAAAAGGTCGAATGTTGACTCTGATCAGGTGTTTGTTGTAATGATGCACTGAGACCAGACATTCCTCTCATCATAGAGACTACAGTAGCAAAGAGCTGGAGAGAAAGTGGTCGTCTGAGCAAGTTCTGCTTTGTTTATGTTGCTGTTTTGCGATGCATTCAAATTATGGCACATAATTATTTACAAGCACATAATTAATTACATTGACGCATAATGAACTAAAACGAATGTCTATGAACAAACTTTAACTTGGCTTGACAAACCTGCAGCTCTGACATCCCAGGTGGTTGCTAAGGTGTTGCTATGTTCTCAACAATGGCTGCTAAGGTGTTACTAGGCCTTTGCTATGGTATCCCAAGTGGTTACTAAGGTGTTACTAGGCTATTTCTATGTTATCCCAGATGGCTATTAAGGTGTTACTAGGCCTTTGCTATTGTATCGCAGGTGGTTACTAAGGTGCTGTTAGGCCTTTGCTACTGTATTCCAAGTGGTTGCTAAGGTGTTACTAGGCTATTTCTATGTTATCCCAGGTGGCTATTAAGGTGTTACTAGGCCTTTGTTATTGTATCTCAGGTGGTTACTAAGGTGCTGCTAGGCCTTTGCTACTGTATTCCAGGTGGTTGCTAAGGTGTTACTAGGCTATTTCTATATTATTCCAGGTGGCTACTGAGGTGTTACAAGGCCTTTGCTATGGTATCTCAGGTGGTTACTAAGGTGTTACTACACCATTATATTATCCCAGGTGGTTGCTAAGGTGTTACAAGGCCTTTGCTATGGTATCTCAGGTGGTTACTAAGGTGTTACTACACCACTGTTATCTCAGGTGGTTGCTAAGGTGTTACAAGGCCTTTGCTATATTATCCCAGTTGGTTAGTAAGGCGTTACTACACCACTATGCTATCCCAGATGGTTGCTAAGGTGTAACAAGGCCTTTGCTGTGTGATCCTGGGTGGTTGCTAAGGTGTTACTAGGCCTTTGCTAGGGTATCCCAGGTGGTTACTAAGGTGTTACTACACCACTGTTATCCCAGATGGTTGCTAAGGTGTAACAAGGCCTTTGCTGTGTGATCCTGGGTGGTTGCTAAGGTGTTACTAGGCCTTTGCTAGGGTATCCCAGGTGGTTACTAAGGTGTTACTACACCACTGTGTTATCCCAGATGGTTGCTAAGGTGTTACAGGGCCTTTGCTGTGGTATTCCAGGTGGTTACTAAGGTAATGTTAGACCATTTCTATGTTATCCCAGGTAGTTGCTAAGGTGTTACAAGGCCTTTGCTGTGGTATCTCAGGTGGTTGCTAAGGTGTTACTAGACCTTTGCTATGGTAACCATAGGTGGTTCCTAACGTGTAGCTAGGCCATTGTTATGGTATTCCAGGTGGTTGCTAAGGTGTTAGTAGGCTACTATGTCATCCCAGGTGGTCCCTATGGTGGTCACTAATCTGTGCGCATACATGTGTGCACACAGATTAGTACACCACTGCTGTGATGTTATTTGCGATTATACAATAGTCTTCCATGCACATCATATCAGTAAAAGGAAATACACCTTCAGTCAACTCGACTAGGTAAAAAACGAACTTTACACTCTCAAAAAAGATGGTTCTTCAAGGGTTCTTTAGTAAAGAAAATGATTCTATGAAGAACCGTGAACACTTTGCATGATTAAAGGGTTCTTTGCATCATGAAAGGGTTCTTCAGAACCTTTTTGAAAAGGATTCTATGTAGCACCAAAAAGGTTTCTTCTATTGTTATGACGTTAAGCTTGAAACAATAGAAGAACCCTTTTGGGTGCTGTATAGAACCCCTTTGCAAAAAGGGGCTATATAGAACCATCTACACCACAATCTTCCTCAATCTGAAGAACGCTTTTACGATGCAAAGAACCATTTAATCATGCAAAGCGTTCTTTGAGTGTTCATGGTTCTTTATAGGCCCATTTTCTTTACTAAAGAACCCTTGAAGAACCATCTTTTTTAACTGTGTACCTCAGCAGGGCTTTCTACAGTGGGACTGATTTCATTGTGTGTGTGTGTTTATCTCTTACTCTGTGTGTGAGGTCATTTATGTAGGACGAGGGGGGAACTGTGTGTACCTGTAATCTAATCTCTAACTACAAACACAAACACTGTCTGAGTCTCTCTCGCTCTGTCCTCTCTCTCTCTCTCTACATATACATGTATATCTATAATACACACACTGATCAGGCATAACATTCTGACCACCGCCTTGTTTCTACGCTCATTGTCCATTTTATCAGCTCCACTTACTATATAGGTGCACTTTGTAGTTCTACAGTTACAGACTGTAGTCCATCTGTTTCTCTGATACTTTGTTAGCCCCCTTTTACCCTGTTCTTCAGTGGTCAGGACCCCCATGGACCCTCACAGAGCAGGTACTATTTGGGTGGTGGATCATTCTCAGCACTGCAGTAACACTGATGTGTTAGTGTGTGTGGTGCTGGTCTGAGTGGATCAGACACGGTAGTGCTGCTGGAGTTTTTAAACACTGTGTCCACTCACTGTCCACTCTATTAGACACTCCTACCTTGTCAGTCCACCTTGTAGATGTAAAGTCAGACGACAGCTCATCTGCTGCAGCACAGTGTGTGTTGGTCATCCTCTAGTCCTTCATCAGTGGTCACAGGACGCTGTTGGCTGGATATTTTTGGTTGGTGGACTATTCTCAGTCCAGCAGTGACACTGAGGTGTTTAAAAAACTCCAGCAGCACTGCTGTGTCTGATCCACTCAGACCAGCGCAACACACACTAACACACCACCACCACGTCAGTGTTACTGCAGTGCTGAGAATGACCCACCACCCAAATAGTACCTGCTCTGTGAGGGTCCATGGAGGTCCTGACCACTGAAGAACAGGGTAAAAGGGGGCTAACAAAGTATACAGAGAAACAGATGGACTACAGTCTGTAACTGTAGAACTACAAAGTGACCCTATATAGTAAGTGGAGCTGATAAAATGGACAATGAGTGTAGAAACAAGGAGGTGGTCAGAATGTTATGCCTGATCGGTGTATACAATACTTATACTACTATATGGGGCATTTCACCAGGTAGACCTTAAACCCTGTATGCCTTATCATAAATCTTTATCATAGTGCTGCACTACTTAAGGTGGAACAGAAATTCCAATGAGAAGCTAACATCACCCTTGAGAGAGCAGCGTATCAAATTCAGTGTGCCGGTGTAAATCTGGCGCTGGTTAACACAACAGGCAGCTCTACAGAGTCCATTACTGTTTTTCTGCATTACCAATGTAACAATTTTCATACGTACATTATGTGAAGATGAACAGCAGCGGCACAAACTGCAAAAAACAACTTTGCACCGTGAAAACAAGAATGAAAAAGCTGCTTAAGGAGGATGAGGACATATCCGAGCAGGTGGGCAGTTAAAAAAGCTGACCTTGACTTACTTAGCTAGCATTAGTTTGTAGCATATTGACTGTCTTGATTGTTACATTACATTTAATATAAAAGCTTTCACCAGTTTTCATTTCATCACTAGTGAGCTGCCTTGGCTCTCTTAGCATAGCATATAAATAATAAATAAGAGTTAGAAATGAAGATGAACATACACAGATTTTAGAAAAGGCTATTTTGCATGAAGGTAGTGTGTGTGTGTGTGTGTGTGTGTGTGAGTGTGTGGGTGTGGGTGTGGGTGTATGTAGGGTTTAACATAGGCTGGACCCCATCATGTGACTCCTAGTCTGTAAGCAAGTCCCACTCGAGACCTGCCTGTTTTTTTTAGTGTAACCCTATTGTGAGGAACAAAAACAGGAAGTTGCATTCTTACCAGCAGCTTCTCACCAGACACGCCTCTGTTGTTGAACACCACACATCTGAAAAACACAAAGGCATCAGCAAACCTCAACTATATCCTGTCAGAAGAAGAAATAAATACACAGTAGGTACAGTTCTGCAAAAAGATGTTTTAATTAACATTTTAATGCGAAATTTAATGTACCTGTCTTTTCATTTGGTATAATTTGTGTATATTTACTTGTTTATTGCCAAACTACTCAATTAAACACATACAGTGGGGTCCAAATATCTGAGACAGCTACTGAAGATGCTTCCATTCCCTTCTAATTTAATACAGAATTTTCCAAGACAAATGATACAATTATAACAATCTGAGTGAAAAGCAGAATTTTTGAAATTTTAACATGAATTTCAGAATTTCTTAGTGTGGGTCCCCCATTGTTTGTGAACAACTTTTATTTTTAATACTAAACTGAAAACAAGACATACAATGACAACACACATACAAATAAATGCTCTCCCCCCAAACTCCCTCCCTCCCTCCCTCCCACCCCACGGTTCCTACATATGTGATGAACTTACAAAAGTTTGGACACCCATGTTTCAGAACTTATAACTCATTAGGCCTTAACTGGCTCGTTAGGTCTAGTTAAGGTCAAGAACTGTCATTAGGACTTATCAGGTGATGACAGTTTCAGAGTGTAATAACTTTCTGACTCTGAAAATGAAGCTGAATGATGCTACAAAGCAGGGGAGGTTATGAAAAGACACCGAAGTGTTTCCAGCTTTTTCATTAAGCAATGGCAGTTAAGGGGAACTGTGCAAGTCAAGGCAAGATCGGGAGATTAAAACACTCTCAAACAGAACTGCTTGTATGCTGGCTGGAAAAGGCAAACCAAACCCCGTATGACAGCAAAGCACCTGCAGGAAGGTTTAGCTAGACCATTGCTATGGCATCCCAGGTGGTCATTAAGGTGCTGGTAGGTCGTTGCTATGGCATCCCAGGTGGTTGTTAAGGTGCTGGTAGGCCTTTGCTATGTTATCCCAGGTGGTCCTTAAGGTGTTGCTAGGTCACTATATTATCCTTGGTGGTTGCTAAGGTGTTACTAGGCCTTTGCTATGGTATCCCAGGTGGTTGCTAAGGTGTTACTAGGCCATTTCTATGCTATCCCAGGTGGCCACTAAGGTGTTACTAGGTCATTTCTATGGTATCCCAGGTGGTTGCTAAGTTGTTACTAGGCCATTTCTATGTTATCCCAGGTGGCCACTAAGGTGTTACTAGGCCATTTCTATGGTATCCCAGGTGGTTGCTAAGGTGTTGCTAGGTCATTGCTATGGTTCCTTATATGGTTGCTAAGGTTTTGCTAGGCCATTGCTATGGTTCCTTATATGGTTGCTAAGGTGCTGCTAAGCCATTGCTGTGTTATCCCAGGTGGTTGCTAACATGTGTGCATATATGTGTGCTAGTATATATGTGTGTCTATGTGATGCCTATGAAGGACAGTGTGAGAGATTTTCTTTTTTAATAAATTTTGTTTTGGACGATTGCTGTATGAAAACTGTACATCCGATATCCTTCAGGTACAGGTTCTCCAGCAGCACTGCTGTGTCTGATCCACTCAGACCAGCGCAACACTAACACACCACCACCATGTCAGTGTTACTACAGTGCTGAGAATGATGCAGCACCCAAATAGCACCTGCTCTGTGAGGGTCCATTGGGGTCCTGACCACTGAAGAACAGGGTAAAAGGGGGCTAGCAAAGTATCAGAGAAACAGATGGACTACAGTCTGTAACTGTAGAACTACAAAGTGCACCTATATAGTAAGACTAGCTGATAAAGTGGACAATGAGTGTAAAAACAAGGCGGTGGTCAGAATGTTATGCCTGATCGGTGTAAATAATCAATGACTTCACAAAACCCCATCAGAAAAAAATCTTATCAGTGTTTGTTACTGTAAAATGATTTAATGTGCCTAACGCACCTAAATATACAAGTTGTTTGTTACATTTTGTATGTTATTTTCTCAATTTATTGCAGCATTAAATACTTATAAATTACAAAAATATTAGGGATGATCAGCCAAAATCATATTGATTAAACTTTTTCAATTCTAATAAGCCCAGAGCAATTTTGCTTTCTCTCAGAACGCCTGCTCCAGAATGAAAGTGTCCAGTGGCGGTCAGCGCTCGGCTAGACCGAGTGAATTTTTTTGCTGCAGTATTAAGTCATAGTGATTTGGGCTACTGAGCTAAGCTTTAATTCATTAAACACAGCAGGCGGGCTCCAGCTACAAGATGCTGAGTGGGCTTTAAACCCCCCATTACCCATAGTTCTTTCTGTCTGTGTGTTAATCACAGTGTCTGACGAGCAGGGTCTCTCAGCTCAGCGCAGCTTTAATGCTGGGCTCAGCTGTTCAGTGCTACCTCTCTCTCTCTCTCTCTCTCTCTCTCCCTCCCTCCCTCTTCCTCTTTTCTCTTTCTAGTCAGTGTGGCTGCCTCTTTTGATGTGGCTCTCACACCTGCTGCTGCTGCTCTTGCTCAGACACTGCAGTGAAACCACAGCTACAGGTGTTATTCTGGCACAGGTGCAGCAGACTGCCTGCTTTCAAACACATCTGGACCTCACCGCAAATAAATATTTACATACAGAGCTACAGCACCAATACATCTCCAGTGGTAGTAATAACAGTATTTATAAAGAATTCTTGCTTCTTCACCACTTAAATAGCCAGGGCCCAATGGGAGGCTCAACGTTTTATTATGTATGACCTAAGAATGGCTCAACCAGTTTGCACTGATGTCCCTGTAGTTACTAAATAATAAGACATAGTATGTAATAAGCCTGGGATTTTCAGGGGTTAAAAATGCTTATAATACATTAGACTTACATATTGAGAATTTGGGTATGGAATTGAAGATGAGGATGGATTTGGGGATGGGATTGAGTAAGGAGATGGGTTTGGGTAAAGGATTGAGGATGGGGATGGATTTGGGGATGGGATTGAGTAAGGAGATGGGTTTGGGTAAAGGATTGAGGATGGGGATGGATTTGGGGATGGGATGGAATAAGGAGATGGGTTTGGGTAAAGGATTGAGGATGGGGATGGATTTGGGGATGGGATGGAGTAAGGAGATGGGTTTGGGTAAAGGATTGAGGATGGGGATGGATTTGGGGATGGGATGGAGTAAGGAGATGGGTTTGGGTATAGGATTGAGGATGGGGATGGGGATGGATTTGGGGATGGGATGGAGTAAGGAAATGGGTTTGGGTATAGGATTGAGGATGGGGATAGGTTTGGAGATGGGATTGAGTATGGGGATGGGTTTGGGGATGGGATTGAGGATGGGTTTGGGTATAGGTTTGAGGATGGGGATAGGTTTGGAGATGGGATTGAGGATGGGGATGGGTTTGGGGATGGGGTTAGAGATTGGCATGGCATTGGGGAGGGTATGAGTAAGGGGTTGGTTATGGAATGGGGTGGGGATATAGATGAGGATGAGGTGGGTATGGGGAAGGGTATAGGGTTGGGAATGAGGATGGTGTTGAGGATGGGTTTAGGATTGGGTTGGGGTTGGGTTTGAGGATGGGGTTTAGTTTGGTTGGTGATAAGTTGGGTTTGGGCTGTGTTTGGTGATGGGGATGGAAATAGCAATGGGGATGGTATTGGGGATGTTGATGGGCAAGAATTTGGGTTCTGTTAGCATTTGGGGTTATAGTTGGGTTTGGGGTTGTTGCTGGATTTGAGGCGGAATAGGGGATTTGGTTTAGGGTTAGAGCAGGTGATGAGTTGGGTAGTTTTTGGGTCAGGATGAATTATGTATGGTTTGAGACTGTGTTTGGGGGTGGAGATGGTCTTTAGCTTGGTGTTAGAGTTAGAATTAAGTTGGGGTGGGTTTATGGTGGGGAACGGTTTTTGGTTTAGGGTTTGGAGTTGGCATTTGGTCTTATGGCTTAGGGTCTGGAGTTGGGATTTGGTCTTATGGCTTAGGGTTTGGAGTTGGCATTTGGGCTTAGGGCTTAGGGTTTGGAGTTGGCATTTGGGCTTAGGGCTTAGGGTCTGGAGTTGGCATTTGGGCTTATGGGTTGTGTTTTGGAGTTGGCATTTGGGCCCAGGCAACCACCCCATGCTTCACCAATAGGAAGCTTGTTCACGATGTTCACAAACCTACCTCCTTATGTAACGTAACTAAATTGTAAGGCTGCCAAATGCGAAGACTTAAATATTTGGATCTGAGCTGAGTTACAGGGTATGTGTTTGGCTTCGGTTATGACTCACCTGTATCCCAGCTCACGGCTCTGTTGGACCATGTGCAGGATGTAGGACTCTCGACTGGTTCCGGTCAGGCCTGGCAGCAGCAGGACGGTGGGGCGGCTTGATGGGTCCGGGTGGGAGGTGCTGGAGTCATTATCAAACCAGTCCAGAGAAATCTGGCCTCCATCTGGTGCCCTGATCAGCTCACTGCAGGACAAATATCCACAAACAGACACACAAACATGAATGAACCATGAACACTTACAAGTGCAACCAGTTTTAGATGTAGCCTTACACCCGAATCTGCAAAGCGCACTCAGAAGCATGTTCACCATCCTAAATAAATAATGTTACTATACTAGACGTTTTCTCATACACACATGCTGTTCACAGGGAGGATGTAACACCGGTCCAAGTTCCACCATCCTGGTGACGGGTTGCTTACGTAACCTCTTTAAAGAGGACTGATGAGAATTATGAAATTACACTTCAAATTGGTAAAAAACATCTTAATTAAGCCTCAGACTACAACAAGTTATCTGGAGAAAATCAACATCAGCCTCTAAACTGTTAACATTAACATTCAAAAAGGAAACTCTTCTCACACCAATCAAGGCATAAAGTACAAACATTAAGCGTGGGTTAGGGGATGGGATTGAGGATGGGGATGGATGTGGGGATGGGATAGAGGATGGGGATGGATTTGGGGATGGGATAGAGGATGGGGATGGATTTGGGGATGGGATTGAGGATGAGGATGGGGATGGGATTGGGGATGGGGTTAGGGATTGGGGATGGGTTTGGGGATGGGGTTAGGGATTGGGATGGGATTGGGGGGGGTATGAGTAAGGGGTTGGGTATGGAATGGGGTGGGGATATAGACGAGGATGGGGTGGGTATGGGGAAGGGTATAGGGTTGGGAATGAGGATGGGGATGGGTTTAGGATTGGGTTGGGGTTGGGGTTGGGTTTGGGTTTGAGGATGGAGTTAAGTTTGGTTGGTGTTAAATTCGGTTTGGATTGTGTTTGGTGATGGAAATGGAAATGGGAATAGTATACTATTCAAGTAAGTCTTGAAATTGCTTTCAAACACATCAGTGTAAGATTTCCTGGTCTCTAAATAAAACAAAGCCTGAAAATCTAAAGGGCAGTTTAAACTAATTCTACAAAAGTGCAGTTTAAACTAATTCTACACAGTTAACTTCTCAAAGGCTTGAAAACTGCTAAAAGGCAGTTGTCAAACTAATTCTACAAAAGGGCAGTTTAAACTAATTCTACAAAAGGGCAGTTTAAACTAATTCTACAAAAGTGCAGTTTAAACTAATTCTACAAAAGTGCAGTTTAAACTAATTCTACAAAAGGGCAGTTTAAACTAATTCTACAAAAGGGCAGTTTAAACTAATTCTACACAGTCACGATGATGCAGTGATGTTTCTGCAGTATAATGGAAAAGGCTTGGTGACCACAGCCAATTCCCACATACACATCCACATAACAAACCTGCTAATGTCCTTCGCATGTGAAGCATATCTGCATGGCTTGTGCTGATTTGCATGGTGCTATACACACTGAAAAACCTGTTTTGCTGAGTTCATTCAAACGCTTTAAGGAAAACGATCGCCTTGATGGATCTGAATCGCTCTTACTTTACTGAATGGTGTGATCCAAATCCATACAATGACTGGGCACATTAAAGACAAATCTAGAAGCAAAACTGTGTTCTCTTAACTTTTGCTAGCCGTAGGTTTGTTTACAGTATATGTGCTCTAGTACTTTACTTCAAATATCTAAATAAACACCTGTAGTAGAATACTGTAAAATTCATGTATTGTGTATATGTGTACATGTGTGGTCAGTTATAGGACAACGTTATAAGGATAATAAAACAAAAAAACTAAGAGAAAATAAGTAAATTTGTACTGCGAGTGAAAAATGAGTGATAAAGTGGCATTTTGTCTAATCCTCTGCATAACCACAAGGGGGCCACCCAGAAAATGTTGAGCAATCCCGTTTCTTATTTTTACCCCTACACCTTGTTTTCGAGTGTCACCTTACACTGAGTTACTGAGTTATAAGGAAGAGTGGTTGAAATCTTCCCTCTGAAATGAGACCCTCAAATAAAAAGAGCATCACCTCATTAACAGCTACCAGCGCTGCTCTGTAGGCGACCCTGCCAGTCTGCAGTGACAGCAGAGGAGGGTAAAGTTCAGCTCCTCACTGCTGGGCTTTAGTTACATTTAGGGCATCATATGACTTCAAAGAGGGGGGCAATTATTTATTATCACCCACCACTAATTCTTCAGTGATATGAAGCTGAAGTCAGATATTCACCAGCTTCTTGTTTGAATTTTCCCGCTCCACCTTAAATGGAGCAGCAGTTACATTCTGGCGCTTCAGGCGTCAAAACTGCAGGACTATTTAAGGTGGAACGGGAAAGTTAGCTAGCTAGCGACACATTAGCAAACTACTAGTGATTTTTTTAAGCTTATTTTGAAGAAAAGGACCATAATACACTGAAACAACACTAAACTACGATAATACAGTGGAAACAGAGAAAATTCTCACATTTGTGGGTTTCTTTGGTCTCATGTTCTCCATCTTGCCGTTTTTTTTTCTCATAACTCTCCGTTTGGAGCCTCTGAAAAACCTCCGTTTGGAGGGTCGTGTAGCCCCAACACTTCACCCTACCCCTCTATCTCAACAAGAATCAGGACGCCTTATCTCTAGGCATGACTGCCCAAAACAGAAGGGTAGGGCTAAGTGGTAGGGGCGAGGGGTGAAATGGGGTTGGGCCCAAGAAGCAAGTGGGCTGCCAGCTTTGCCTCAGTGGGCCAACAATGACCATCCTCTCACTGTCTGGGTTGCTGTAATGTCGGTATCGATGGCAGCACAATGAGAAAAATACTGTTGGTAAATTAGAGTAACCTCAGCTACACTACTGTAGCTAATGGGGTCTGCTACGATGTTAATTTAGCTGGCTAGCAAAAGCTGAAACTGGTGTATTTCCTGCTCAATCAATTTAACCAAACATAAAGACGTTTAAATAATTATGTGATGTAAATCGAATACATAACAAAAAACTGTATATAGAGCTGGGCAACATGGCAATATATATCGTTATTGTGATAAATTGCATCACAATATTTCACAATATGGTTTTTTGATCAGGAGGCCCCCTGGACGCCTCCCGGTTGGGGTTTACCAGGCACGGCCTACTGGGACGAGAACCCAGGGTCGTCCTAGGACCCGCTGGAGGGATTATATCTCCAAGTTGGCCTGGGTGTGGTGTGGCTCGAGGTCCTCCAGAACGAGCTGGAGGAAGTTGAGCGGGACAGGGTCGTCTGGGATTCTCTGCTCTCCCTACTGCTACTGCGACCCTAGCTAGATTAAGCGGTTAAAGATGATGAATGAATGAATGAATGAATGAATGAATGAAAATGTTTTTCTGAGCATATCGCGGACTGCAAGAACACCAAACTACTTGATTCATTACAAAGTGAGGATAATTAGTCCTTTTAATCAGCTTTAGAGCAGCAAAGTCTGTGAAACACTGAATAAAAATAATTGAAACACTACAGAAACATCCATTTTTGTGTCCCTAGCGTTTACAGATATATTACACTTAAAAACGTTAGGGTTACAATTTATTTACATTTTAAAGTAAAACACGTTATTTTAACAATTACACCTTCTTGAGCCTCAATTTAGCAACATTGGTTTTTAAATCAATTCTATAGAATTCCAAGCACCACAGAAGAGCTCGTCCCCACAGTCATGTGTGAAGGCTGAGGCCAGATTTTGAGGTAAAACATGTTTTTCTGCAGTTTTAACTACAATAATCTATACATGACTATGAAATATATAAATTAAATGACATAAAGAAAACAAATGGCAAATAAATATTATAAAATTTATAATGAAAGTTCCCCAGGAGTCGTGTCACTGGTGTTACTGCGTAACTAAAAATCTTTTATTTTGAAATAAGTCACACTGATGACATCACTTGGCTTCCTTTTACCTGTTTTCTGAGGATCTATGAAGAAAAGCACATGGTGGGTCCACTGTGTCTTTCAGTTATCAGAGATTTTCTCATTCAGCTCATGATTTCATATGAAGCTTTTAGCTGAAGTCACTGGTGTGACCGACTTTATTCTGAGGTAACTGTGAAAAATAGAATACAAATGGATTAAATTACATATTTTAGTGGTTGTTCCATGATTGACGTGGTTTGATGCTCTGTAGCAGACATTTAGTAAAATGCATTGTTCATTAAAAATGTCTGTTTCCTTTATTATGTGGAACACCAATGAGGATCTGTAACACCAGTGCCTGGGAGAAAAGTGGACGTTTCTGTAGAATGACCCACTTATAGCTCTGATGGTATTTTTCAAATATCTGACTGTTTTCTTTTTTTGTCTCTTCCAACTCATCAGATGTCAGAAAATGTAAATATCATGTGAAAATTTGTTACAATTTCAGATTATATTTTTTGCCATTTCTCCCAGCTCTAACTCTACATCTCTGAGCTTTGATGCGTTATCAGTTGATGGTGGAAGTTCGGCGTGGGCCCGACGGGGTGACGCAGCAGCGGATCGGCAGCTTTGAGTGCTGGATTACAGTCGACGCTCTCGGCACTGACTCAGCTTCTCTCAGAGCGAGAGATCACGCTAAACCAGAGTGTAATTTCAGAGCCTGTATTAAAAATGCACTCCAGGATCAGCCTCCGCTCTGCTCCGAGCGCTCGCAGCATCACACTCACAGAGGAGGAGAAGAGCTCTCACCCAGAAGCTCCATCAGCAGTTCAGCTCTGTTTTGTCAGCAAAGCAATATTGCCAGCAGCTGCTGTCCTGAAGTAGCTTTAACCCTTTGAGGCAGCAGCAAACGGGGGCTATATCTGCGGTCTAATCTACTCTTCTCATGTAATAACGCTGCTTTCAAATGTTGAGGTCAAATTTATTTTCATGTATAAATATCATGACCTTAAAAAAAAAGCTAAAAGTGTACATTTTCATTGCGTTTTTGTCATAAATCACCTTTTTGAGCACAAAAATTTAAACATAGGAATCTACATCACACTTTAGTGGGACCTTTAGTGAGGCTTCATGGCAGCTACACATCCTTTCAGACCCACAGCGCTGAGTCGTCTTCTCACAGTGGAAGGATGGACAGAAACACCTGTGGATGTTTTCAGATCTGAAGCAACTTGAT